TGGTGATCATCGTCCGTCGCCGGCCACCGTCGTAGTTTCGACCGGTGACCAGCGAATCTGGATCGTCTCTTCGAGCGCGACCTAACCCTGGTGGTCGCCGTCTCATAATCCTCTGCACGCACCATCACGGGCCTCCTCTCTCCATCAAATCTTGTGTGTGTTTGTCACGTGCCGCTGTCCCGGTGTCGGAATCACACCGCGCTGCTTCCGGTCGACTCGTTGGACCTCCTCCTTTCTGTTCTGACCCTCCATAGCAGCCATTGCTATCATCTTCGTTGTCTCCACAACTACCTCCTTCAAAAACCCAAACCTCGAACCTTAAGCTTTCTCTCGGGTTCGGTTTTTATTTCCCTTTGTTCCGCAAAACCCTAGGTCGTATTTTAGATCTATTTTCGACTCTCCTTTCCGATATTCTTAATTCGTCTTCGATTAGCGATTAANTATTACTCTTTTATCCTACAAGTATTTATAGAAAAGCTTGTTCAAACATATTTATAGTATAATTTTTGTATTTGTTAGTTTAATCAACCTTTATATTTACATAAATAAGTATTTGAATATTTATGGCTACTGTATATATATATTTTTTAATTTTATTCCATGTTAGACAACTGAAAAAGTTTAAGATTTTTACCGTTAATGATTTAATAGTTGAAAAAAATAATATATTTTTCTTATATTTTAGTTTTTAACTTTTTTCATATTTAAAAAAGAAAAATATTTTTTTTTACACCACCAACGGGTTGTCAAAACAACAATACTTATAAAAAGTAGTTTTTCATATTAAACTGATAACAGTATGATGACCAATACAATTTGATTTTTAAATTTAAAATGTATTTAATAAATAGAAAAAGTTGTTGTGTTCAGAGGAATTCAGAGGAGAGAAAGAAAAAGCTAACGCCGTTTGTTCGTATTTAACGGAAGGGATGACGTTGACGCAAAATTTATTAAGTGAGAACCAATTTCAGAAACTTTTAAAATGAGAGACTGAATTGACATTATTCAGAAAAACTGGAGACAAAATAGGCTATTAAACCATTAGATTATTACAAATAGAAAGTATCAGAATGTATTTTTTATGATTGAGAATAATAAATCAATCTTATTTTCCACTTGGTATCAGAGCTTGTCTGATCCGCTTCCGCTGTCTTTACTGTCTGCCGGCGGTCGGTCGCCATGGCCGCTAGCGCCCCCCTAAACTATTACCAAATACAGAGTTTGTTTGAGTATGATCAGAGTGGGATTCGAAAGCATTCCCTTTTGGACCAGTAACTGAAACTAGTGCTTTAGATCTGTTGATGCCCAATCAATTTTGGCACTTTTTGACATTCTTATTGGCTTCCAGTTGAATCAAAGAGACCGAAAGTCTCTTCTTCGAAGAATCCAAGAAAGGCCACTGCCTTCGCTGCTTACTCCGCTGTGCACCGCCGCTATCCGTTGGTGATCATCGTCCGTCGCCGGCCACCGTCGTAGTTTCGACCGGTGACCAGCGAATCTGGATCGTCTCTTCGAGCGCGACCTAACCCTGGTGGTCGCCGTCTCATAATCCTCTGCACGCACCATCACGGGCCTCCTCTCTCCATCAAATCTTGTGTGTGTTTGTCACGTGCCGCTGTCCCGGTGTCGGAATCACACCGCGCTGCTTCCGGTCGACTCGTTGGACCTCCTCCTTTCTGTTCTGACCCTCCATAGCAGCCATTGCTATCATCTTCGTTGTCTCCACAACTACCTCCTTCAAAAACCCAAACCTCGAACCTTAAGCTTTCTCTCGGGTTCGGTTTTTATTTCCCTTTGTTCCGCAAAACCCTAGGTCGTATTTTAGATCTATTTTCGACTCTCCTTTCCGATATTCTTAATTCGTCTTCGATTAGCGATTAAGGATGGTGTTGGACGCTAGCAAGAAGAAGGCTCCTCAGAAGAAGGCCGCTGCCTCTGCCTCTGCCGTCACCGTCACTCTTGTTGCTCACTGCACGCTTCTGCATCGCCGGACCTCCCTCTTGTTTCTTTGTTCTGGTTTGGTGTGTGCGTTCTGGTTTATGCCTCCACCAAATGAACATGACCTTTCCTCCCCCGATCACCAATGGGTTCTCACTTTGTTTCTGTTTCTCAAGCAACAGTGCTTCGTTCCGCTGCTACCACAGTCGACGTAGGGCAGTCAGCTGTTGGCGCAGTCAGTCGCCGTCACCGTAGTCAGTTGTTGCAACCTCTGTAGTTTGTCGCTGTTGCCGCATTTTCTTTTATCAAGAGTTTCCCCTGTTTGTCGTGAGGGAAAATATTTTTCAGCCCCTACGATAATTTTCTTCTTGGGCTAGAGTTTAGCCCCTACTTTTGTGATATAGTGTAAGTATCACCATTTGGGAGTAGTCCAGTAGAGAACTTAGGACCTCCAAAGTGTCTTCGATATTTGGTGTTTTTTTGGTTTCTACCATCACTAATGTGAAAGGCTCTTTTCACCGTCAATGCTTTGTTATAACAGCTCACTGAGAGTTGTTCTTTGAGACTGCCTGCTGAATTGACTCTTTCGAAGTTATGGGATTCAGATTTGTCCCTGTACGGATTGGTTCTCACCAATTCTTCCACCTTCACGTTCTGTCATTGACATGCATATGTCGTTCAGTCGTGAAAGGAAGAAAAGTTTCAGCCGCCGCAGGGTCTCTAGATATTCCCTCAAAATCCCCCAAAATTTGCTTCAATCCTATCTCTTCATTGGGAGTTAAGCCACTCTCTTCTGTCTCCCCCTCCATCACTTCAACTTGGCTCAAGCTCCAAACCAGAGTCATGGTTTCAATCTCTCTGTCCTTTAGGAGTGCCTTTGGAGTAACAACCCTTCTTGTCAAAGTGGGATCCCACTTGATCTCCACCTCTTTCCCTTCCTACTCAATCTTCATGCTAAGTTGCCTCCAATCTACTTTAATTTCTCCTAGGGATGCCAACTAGGTAACTCCTAATATCACATCCGCACCTCCCAACTCAAAGAGATAAAGTTTATCTTTGACTTTTAATCCCTCCAACTCCATCGGAACTCCTATACAGCACCCCCTAGTCATTTTTTTTCTACTCATCACCTAAACATACATTATAAGGGGGTGTATCCGCACTTTTCAGCCCCAACTCCTCTACCAATCTGGTGGAAATAAAGTTGACTCACCCCATTGTTAATCAACACCAATACCTTTCTTCCTTGCAGCCAACCTTGCAGTTTCATTGTTTTAGACTGTCTTAAACCACCTGCAGAGAATATAGATAACTCCATGGTCTTTTGTTCAATTTCGGGACCCTGTTCTACCTCCTCTTCTTTGTCTTCCGCAGCCAAAATCATCACACCTCGCGTCATAATCCTAGCTTGTTCCGCATCTCGGGCTCGTTCCATCGCCATCAACAGATCACGTGGTTCGTGCGGCCTTACCAAGTTTCGCAATCCCTCGTGCAACCCAGCAAAAAAATATCCCAGTAGTTTCTCTTCAGTTACTCCGGTTGCTTGTGCCACGAGTATTTCAAATTCCTGATATACTCGTCGACGCTCCCTCTCTGTCGCACGACCGCCAGCTTCTAAAAAACGGTGCTCCGGTTCAGTCAGCCGAACCTCCTCGTCAGTGCCTCTATAAACAACTTCCAAGTTGGGTGTCTGGTTTTCTTCCGCCAGAAGCGGAACCAGTAGTTAGCGCCTCCCTCCATACATATAAAACCAGCTTCATCTTCTCCTTCTCCGTCACTTCCTGAATGTCGAAGAACTTCTCAGCCTTTGTGATCCAACCTGTGGGGTCAGTACCTTCAAAAGTTGGTAGCTCAACGCGCTTCATCAAACTACATTGTACTTCGCCTCAATCGTTTTCCGATTCATCCTTCGAGCTCTCCGCTGGTTATCGCTCGCGCTCGGCATTGACGGAATCATGACTTCCTTCGGAGCTTCGATCATGGTTCTTGGAGCGTCGTCTTGAGGCTCGTTGGAACGCGAGAGTCATCGCTCGCACCTCCGCCTTTAATTCCTCCATTGTCGACTCCATCGTCACCATTCGTCCTTCCATTCTTCTTCGCTACCGCTCCTCCTCGCTATTCTTCCCTCCAAAACAGATCCGGCAGGTCGGACCAAAGTTGTTAGGTTCCTTTACTCAGGGAACCAAAACAAATCACTTTATTCTCACACAACTCTCAAACAGCAGAATATGATAGTATATGTATGTATTTTATTAACACTGTAATGTATCGAAAGAAGAAAATACATGTAAGTATCCCCCAACGAAGCCTCCCTTCCTCCACTGGAAAATAGGTCCAGTCTCTACCCAAAAGGCAAAAAATATCTGATATCCCCTCTCTCCCCCATTCTGTTTATTATTTATACTCTCTCTCTCTTCTAACAAACTAACCTCCTTTCCCGCCTCTAGTTTTCTCCCCTCTTATTCCTCCTTACATAAACCTTTAATTGTCTAACATAATCTGATATAGAATTTAGGTTCCTTGGATATTCTCTATTATTAGTCATTATTAGGTTTCTCTAAATTATACTTTGGATGTACTTGTGTCATTAAACACACAATTCACAACAATAGAAAAACTCTTTAATCATTATTTCAATGACAATGTCATCAATAATATCCATTGAATAAATGCATCTTGCAGCCAATCGGTGATATAAGACCAACAGCCAATTGGTAATATAAGACCAAGGCGTCAATCTCACTCTTAATTGTGCCAAATTTCTAAACTGCAGTGCTAAATTTGAAAAGTCAGGCTTTGGAGATTGTTTGAGACCATGTATAGATTTGCAAAGATGACGTACATGTCTTGGGAAACTTCCCTTGAGCTACAAACCTATGAGATTGTTCCATGTAGATCTTTTCCTAAAGATTGCCATACCCCAAAAAATATCTTGGTTATACACTAGGTTGTTTATCACATGCTAAGAAATTAAATCTCCAACCGTAATCTTTCTAAAAATTATAAATTCCATTTTGACACTAAGCTGTTGCTCACTCGTATTGATGAAATATTTCCTGCAGATTTGCATTAGTTCAATATTTCCTGAAGTTGAGGATATAAATATCAGCATTTTACATGCAGCTGATTCTATTGGCTTGAAGGAGATACCTAGATATGAAGTTAAAATTTATGAGGAGGATGACTGGATGAAGAGATCTCAGGTCAATCTTTTCTTCTTTTACTTTTTTGTTTTATATAGTCATTTGTTTTTCTTGTCGTGCTACCGAAGAGATCAAATCTAATGCATGTGCAAATTCCATTAAAGATGAAATATATATTTATTGCGTTAATTCCACATCTCTGTTGTCTCCTTAGTAATTCTTCTCCTATAGGTTGAGGTAAGATGCCTTCTTCATAAAAGGATGTCTTTCTTTGTTTCTCACTCTGAAAAGAGTTGAAATTTGTCTTCATATTTTGGTGTTTTCTCAAACAATTATTTGTAGCCATGGCTTACTAAGGGAAAAATCATATAAGTATCCTGTGTAAACGAAACTGGCTTTCCTTGAAAAGTTTTAATCTGTGAGAAGGAAAGGAACTATTGATATAAAGACCTTTTGCTAATTGCTGAATACTAATTATTTGTTTTTTCTCACACCAGCACTGTACTGTTTTCTATCCTTAACATTCTAGTTGAAAATAAGACTTATTTTATTATTCTCAAATCATAAAAATACATTCTCATACCCTCTATTTGTAATAATCTAGTTCTCCTAAAAAGGTAAATAGGTAAACTAGGAAAAATAAAATTAAATAAAAGATTATGTATCTATTTTCTCTAATTAGGAAGATTCTAAATATATTATCTCAAATTACAACACTCCCCCTCAAGTTGGTAAATGAATATCAATCATTCCCAATTTGCCTACAAGATCTTGAAATCTACCCGGAGGAAGCCCTTTTTTTATAAATATCTGCTATTTGAAGTTCTGTAGAACATGAGTTGTAATCACAAAGCCTCTGTCAAGATTATCTTTGATGAAATGTATGTCAATTTCAATGTGTTTGGTTCTGTTATGCTGTACTGGATTATGGGCTATGCTCATACCAGACTTATTGTCACAGTGTAGTTGCACCGGGTTCTCCACTTTGACTTTAAGATCATCCAAAATGATTTTCATCCAGAGTCCTTCACACATTCTTTGAGGAAGGGCTCGAAATTCAGCTTCTGCACTAGAACGGGATACTCTATCTTGCTTTTTGCTTCTCCATGTTACCAGACTATCTCCAAGAAATACACAATACCCAGAAGTATTTTTTCTGTCAGTAATAGAACTTGCATAGTCATCATCATTATATATCTTCATAGTTAATGTGTTTTCTCTTTTGAATAATAGCCCCTTTCCTGGACTTGACTTCAAGTATTGGAGAATTTTGTCAACTGCTTGCATGTGTCTCTCTCTTGGATCATGCATAAATTGTCTCACTACACTAACTGCATAAGCAATATCTGGTCTTGTGTGTGACAGATAAATCAATTTTCCCACCAATCTCTGATACTGGGCCTTCTCTACAGGAGCACTTTCTTCACTTCCCTACAGTTTTATAGCAGTCAGCCGCCGCTGCAGTCGCTACCGCCTCAGACAGACGCAACTGCGTCAGTTCTTCTTGGGCTAGAGTTTAGCCCGATCTTCTTGTGATACACGGCTAAGTATCACCACTTGGGAGTTGTCCAGCAAAGAATTTTGGACCTTCAACTTTTCTTTGTATCTTTGATGTCTTTTTTTCAGCATTGTAGCTTAATATTTTGTTTTGTTTTAGTAGTCCAGCAACTGTGATATTCCACATTTCCGCCGTTCACACTGAGGGGGAGTACGTTTCCAAGACACTGCAAATATATATGGGTGTAGTCCCTGCAGTTTTCTACATTTCAGCTACTACTGTTGATCCCGTCACCCATCCATCATTGATGAGGATTTAGTGTAGTCCCTGCAGTTTTGTAGCTCTTAGCTTTCAGCTACCACTGTTGATCCCGTCACTCATCCATCATTGATTGGGAATCAGTCCTTGCAGTTTGTCATTGTCCACCACTGCTCTCCTTCATCCACTTTTGAAGTTGAAGTTTCACAAGCTGCTGTTAGTCCATCTATGTTTGCCTTACACTCTTGAAGACAAATCATCTAGTTCAACCCTGAGTTCATCTATTCCAAGCTTAGTTCATACAATTTGTATGCTCCAGCTTGAGGGGGAGTGTTAGATATATTATATCTTTTATCCTTTAGTTTGTTTGTTATTATTTCTCATTTGTATTTTGGGCTTAGCCCATATTTCTTCTATTATAAATAGAGAACCCTATGTGTGTATTTAACACAAGGGAGATTAATCCAAATATAGTTTTTCACTATATTCAACAAGTCCTTTTCAAAATGGGCAGCCCAAGTGAGAATAACTCGAACTGTATTCATCTTTGCCACTGGGGCAAATGTCTCCTCATAACCAATCCCTTATGTTTGGGTATATCCTTTTGCCACCAATCTAGCTTTATATCTTTCTATTGTACCATCTGCCTTATGTTTCACTGTGAATATCCATCTACACCCTACTGCCTTCTTGTCTCTCGGCTTATCAACAATCTCTCAAGTTGAATTTCTTTCTAATGCATTCATCTCTTCTTTCATGGCTTGATTCCAATGTTCAAGTTTCATGGCCTCCTGGATTGAGGTAGGAATTTTTGTGGCATCAATGGCAGCAATAAACCTTCTGTGCTTATCAGAGAGATTGTTAGTGCAAACATACTGAGAAATAGGATATTTAGCACATGATCTTCTTTCCTTTCTCAATCCAATGGGTAAATCCTCAGTAATACTTATGGGTAAATCCTCAGTAATACTTACCACCTCCTCATTGATATCTTCAGGGATCCTCACCTCCGGAGTAGACAATTTTTCTTGCTCGAGAGTTGGAGTGGGTTGTTCTCTTCTTTCATATTTTTTGTCAAAAAATTTGTCTTCTTCCTCACTGTGGACTATGGTAGCTTCATTGCTCAAGTCTTGGGCATCCTGCAAAGACAAACATGGTAATGACAAGAAGGAGAGTTCATTCACTTCAAGTGCTTTCTCCCCCTGAAGTGGTGGACTGACATAAAAGGATTGTATTTCATGAAAGGTGACATCCATGGTGATAAAGACGTGACGACTCTGAGGATGATAAGATTTGTACCCTTTTTTATTAGAAGGATACCCAATAAAGACACATTTAAGAGCTCTGGGATCTAATTTACCACGGTTAGGATGATGAGAGTGAACATAAACAACACATCCAAAGACTCGACTAGGTAGACTCGTTAGTAGGGAACAAGAAGGAAGAAAAGACAATAAAGACTCTATAGGACTAATGCCATTTAAGATAGGAGTGGTTAACCTGTTGATGAGATATGTGGCAGTTAACACAGCTTCTCCCCAGTAATTTTTTGGAACAGACATTTGAAAAACAAGAACTCTAGTTATTTCAAGAAGATGACGATTTTTTCTTTCTGCAACCCCATTTTGTTGAGGGGTGTTAACACAAGTTAGTTCCTGAAGAATACCATTATGAGACAAAAAATTGAGAAATTCATGATTCACATATTCAGTACCATTATCAGACCTGATTCTTTTGATATTTTTTCCAAATTGATTTTTTATAAGATTGTAAAAATTAACAAAAATTTGAAAAACTTCGGATTTATTTTTCATAAGGTATGTCCACGTGACACGGGTACAATCGTCAATAAAGGTAACGAACCATTTGGCTCCGAAAATAGAATCTATGACAGGACCCCAAACATCAAAGTGAATTAAATCAAATGGAGAAATACTCTTTTTGTGACTAATAGGATAAGATGCACGATGATGTTTTGACAATTGACAAATATCACATTTAAAAGACTCAACAGACTCTTTGGTAAACAAGTGTGGAAACAAGGACTTGATAAGACTAAATGAAGGATGCCCAAGCCTTTGATGATGTAACCATATTTGAGATTTTGCCCACGTCTCGGATGTAGCTTGTTGACTCGTGATTTTTGTGTTGCTTTGGTCATTAAACACTAAAAAATACAACCCACTCTGCTCCTTAGCAGTTAAAATTGTCTTTCCCGTGACAAGTTCCTGAAAAACACAATAAGTTGGAAAAAATGTTACTGAACAATTTAAATCCTTTGAGTTTTTGCACAGAGATAAGACTATTAGCTAATTGAGGAACATGTAAAACATCCTTTAATACAATAGATGAGTCCATAATTATATTCCCAGAGCCGCATATAGGTATACCCTGACCATTCACAACTGTAATAAGTTGTTCTTTATTTCTTTTACCATATGAGTCAAAGGACACACTGAAAGGTGTCATATGATCAGCTGCACCCGAATCAAGGATCCAAATACCTTGAGACACATGATCAACAGTATTGAGGCAAATCTTACCTTTTATGGACAGAGTACATGATCAAAAGGGCTTACTCATTGATTCATCCATTGCTTTCAAAGGAATAATTTTTACTTCAGACATCCCGTAAAACGCAACCAGGAGTCTCCAAGACGATGACGACGTATGAGTCACACCGAGAAAAAAAGGAGCAGAACTTAAAACTCAGATCTACTCAAATTTAGGCCAAACAGGTCGTCACCAACCCTAAAAACAGACTCAGGAGGCTCTGGCGACTCTTTTGTGGCGGCGACAGTGAGCGGCTCACACCAAGGAAAAAAGAGAAAAACTTAAAACTCAGATCTACTCAAATACAGCCAAAATGAGTCGTCACCTACCCTAGGAATAGACTCAGGGGGCTTCGGCGACCCTGTCTGTGGCGGCAGCGGCGAGTGGGTCTCGCTGGAGGTGGGCGCGTGAGCTACACGCGCTAGCGACGGTGGCGGCGCGTGGCGGCTCCTCTCAAGGAGCGAGTTCCGGCGTTGTGATCACCGGTGTTGGGCACACCTTTCTGCCCTATCAACGACCCCAACCGGCAATGGCGGCAACGGCGGCAGCGGCGGTGCGACTTGTTGCAGCGGAATCGAGTCCCAAGATCAGGAGCTCTGACACCAAATTGAAAATAAGACTTATTTTATTATTCTCAAATCATAAAAAATACATTCTCATATCCTCTATTTGTAATAATCTAGTTCTCTTAAAAAGGGAAATAGGAAAACTAGGAAAAATAAAATAAAATAAAAGATTATGTATCTATTTCCTCTAATTAGGAAGATTCTAAATATATTATCTCAAATTACAACAATTCTTACGTACGGCATGGTGTAAAATGGGAAATGATATTGCTGAAAATTGTCAAATCTATATTTATTATTGAAAATGACTTGGCAAATTCACTTATCTATGGTTATATACAGGAATCACTTCATCCAGTTCAAATTACTGAATGGCTATGGGTGGTGCCTCAGTGGTGTACTCCACCAGTATGACTATCTTAACCTTTCTCTATCCAGGACTCATTATAAACTTAGTATGATTGCTGATTTGCGTTTGGTCTCTCTTGATTTGTTTGTTTTGGTAACTTCTGTCAATATCCTTGTTATATTTTTTGCCTCTTCAAGTTAAATGTTATGAGAGATAGTGAAGCTGAAAATTGAAAAGAAAATTTCTGATAATGAATCCTGGATTTTGCACAGGATATTCAAGCAACAAATATAATTGTCAACCCTGGACTAGCCTTTGGAACAGGGGAACACGCCACTACCAAACTCTGTCTATTACTCTTACACGGTTGTATTAAAGGAGGGGAGCACATTCTGGACTATGGTACGGGAACTGGAATTCTTGCTATTGCAGCTCTTAAGGTAGTCAATTGTTAAACTATACGTAAGAATCAAACTAAAATGAAAAGAACTATTATGGAAAACATGCTGAGGGTCACACCATAATCATTTGTCCATTGCAACTGTGGTTTTCTTCGTTTTGTTTTTTCTTTTCCTTTCACTTGGGCTGTAGTTGTTGACTGCTGCTTCTGTGCGAAACCTTAAACTACACAGGACCAGTCTTAACAAATTGCGAGTTTTCAGCACTATTGGTTGTTTTCTCGTATTTTCATCATAATAAAATGTTTATGCTGTAAATTTTTAGAAACTGCTATATGGCAAATGGAAGGAAGTTACTTAACTTTAAACCCATATAGCATATATGTTCAGATCAGATGTGAATACAGGGACACTATGAGCCTAAATATATGAATTGATTTGGCTTGTGAATGATCTTCCATATTCTCAGCCAATAATATCGTTTTATACTGTGGAAACTTCTTGACGTACAAATTGGGTATCGTTAACTGGAAGTAATATTTGTTTCATAAAATGAGAAATAAAAATGCAATTCTGTATTGCTAAAAGTTATGTGCATCCAGTTATCCACGTATTTTGAATAAGAAAATATGCTTTGATATTTTTCCCATTCTTCCTTTTTAATAACAATACCACCACATCTTTTTCTAGAACTTGTTTGACATATTGTGCATCGATTATCCAACATCTTCATGTAGTATTTTCTTTTTCAGATTTAGAAAATACTGCCAAAATCTGTGTAGCAGCTTTTTGATATTGTTTACGTTTTATATATTATAGTTGACTCTTCAATTCCAACTTTGACATCCTATGGTTTACCAGTTTGGAGCTGCCTTCGCTGTTGGAGTTGATGTAGATTCAGAAGCAATTGCATCAGCGTCTCAAAACGCTTCTCTGAACAACATCAGACCAGACAAAATGCAACTGCACCTGATTACTAACAAAACCTCTTCATCTTGCAAAGATGACTCGACATTTGGAGTTATGGAGAGGGAAAATACTTACGAGATACAAACTTACTGTGCTAAGTTTGATGTGGTTATTGCAAATATACTCTTAAATCCTTTAATGGATCTTGCCGATCAAATTACCTCTTATGCGAAGCCTGGAGCCGTTGTTGGTCTCTCGGGTGTCTTATCTGAGCAGGTAATTTAATTAAAGCATATCTAATTTTTTATTCAAAATGCTTCATTGTGTTTTTTGTTACTTGGGGTTACTATTTGGGGATATTCCTTCTTAATTCCGTTATGCGCCTGAGGTCCTTGCCCTTGTGTTTTATACAGGTTCAGTACATCATAGAAAGATATTCGCCATTCTTAGAAGACATAAAAGTGTCCAAAATGGATGACTGGGCCTGCGTAAGTGGTAGGAAAAGAATATATATGAATGTGAGATGACTCATTAAGTGAACAATTAGGAGGTTTAGTAGTTCCCAGGCAATCCCTTGTGCAGCTTAATGTCACTGTGTAAAAGTTATCATTGTCATATTTGGTTGTTGTAATTCACTTGCCAAGCAGAAAATTATAGTGAAGAGGCACTCCAAAGCATTATTCCCTGCCCTAATTCATGATACCCTTCCTTAGCTTATAAATTTATGATTTTCTTGAGCTTATATTTTTTATATTTTTTGAGATTGTACGTAATAGCCTTCTTCTTTTCTCTTCCTACACTAATTTCTTGTACGTAATACACTACGTAATAGCATTATACTGACACTTATTCATTGCTCCTTAATTGTTTGAAAATAATGTATCGTTTATTGAGGTTGTTGTAAAAGTTAAAAAAGGAGGTATCACATCCACTATGAGGTCATGCATAGGGGATTCCTTCTCATGTGTCATGTGACTTTTTTTTCTGGTTCCTTATTGATCAGAAAACAACAAAGTGATAAGAAAAAACATATTTGTAGATGAGTTATTCTACACGCATTCACAATGTTACAGATCAAATATTAAAAAATAGACGTTAAAGACAAAAAGATATTCACATAATGTTCTTTATTTAAAGAAAAGTTTAAAAAGATCGTACAACCTACTTCAAGCAAAGGACTAAAAAAGCATGTCTACTTTTACAAAGTTGACTTACCCAACGACGATTGTGAAAAGAAGAAAGAGAAAACACAAGTATCAAGGCTGTAAACTATAAGCTTAGTCTAACAAACAAATATTCATGAAGCCTATAAATAGAAGATCTCTCAAGAAAAAAATCACGAGATAGCTTAAGAAAATATCTTAAGAAAGAAGAACTTACAATGATATATTCATCCTGAAAAGAAGAAGAGAAAGAGTTCGAGAAAAAGAATACATCTAAGCTAAAGAAAATATAAGAGAAGAGAAAAAGAGAAAAAGATACTCTCAAACTTCATTTTCATATTGCTTATTATTGTAAGAGATTAAGAGAGAAACACATGCGAGTGTTTAGACTGCTTTTGTTGATAGGAGAGCTATGTAGACTGCTTTTGTTGATAGGGGGAGCTATGTGAAAGCTAAACCCAAACTCTTGTGTGTTTTTGATGATGACAACAATAGAAATGTTTCAATAAGTTACTTCCACAACAACAAAAACGTTTTAATATGCAAAGCTGCTTTTACATTTTTGTGTGTGCTTGAACTGTTTGGTTTGCATACTTATTGTGGTTATACATGAGTTGTGATATGCACATTCATGTTTGCACAAAGCATATCTGAATGAAGTAATCGATTACAGTGTTTATGTAATCAGTTAGATTCATCAAATACCAGTGCATGCTTAATTGTGGCAAACTGCAAGTTTTAACCGATTACACACTAGTGCAGAAATGACATTTAATGTCACCCCTTAGACGCCGGATCACACAATATCCAACGTAAAAAATTCACCGGTGGAATTTTGTAAATAAGTTGGTCTCGGCGATGTCGGTTCATGGGGGGTCCGACGTCTAGACGTCGGTTACAGGTGCATAACTGACGTCTATACTTTAAACCACGTCAGTTCGTACATTAGACGCCGAAGGAGCGCCAGAATGTGAAAACTCATTTTTTTTTCGCCATTTAGACGCGGATCCCGCCACACTGACGTCTAGATAGTCATTGAGACGTCGGTCCCCCTTACATCCGACGCCTAAATGGCCTGGCAGGGTAGGTGAAAAGTTGCTTTGGATGTCGACTTCCCTTACATTCGACGTCTATACACACCGCGAATATTAATTTTTAAATCGAATGGACGTTATATTATTGAGGTCCCCAATGTCTAGTCGAGAATAAATGTCGAGCACTTGGGACACCGACGTCTTGATTCCTGTTAAATCAGAAATCGCGAACCTGCGGTTACGCGCACTTCATCGTCTTCCTCCTCGCCTTTTCTCTTCGTGGCATTGCATTTTCAGGTGCGTTTTATCTCTTTTGAACCGTTTAAACTTACTTTTACTCCGATTAAATTAGTTTTTGATGGATTATCTTTCATTTGAACCTATTAAAATGAGTTTTTGTTGTGTTTTGGTGTATTTTTTCTCGTGTCTTTGGGTAGCGTAGTAGCGCCTTCTGCCTTTGCTAGTTTTCTCGTAAGAAAAGCTTGCGTCTTTTGGATCTCTTATAGCATTTCAACCCAAAACCGAACCTGGGTCCTTGTCTAGTTCTCATGTCACCGTATTCTTTTTCATTGGCGATTGGAATGGAACTAGGCAAGGACCCAGATTCAATTTTCGGTTGAAATGCCATAAGAGATCCAAAAGAAGCAAATTTTTCTTATGAGGAAACAAGGAATAAGGTGCTACTACGCTATACCCAAAGACATGAGCTGCAGTAGACGTCGTTTAGTGCCATGTTTGACGTCTATAGTGCCCTTACACGTCGGTTTTGGTGTAATCCAACGTCTTTATAGACGTCGGACTCTATACGTCCGACGTACCATTAACCTCACCCATAAAGACGTCGGATCGGGATCTGACGTTAAAAGCCCAAAATAACAGACGTCTAAAGTTTTTTCCGCACTAGTGACATTATATGTTTAATCGATTAAAACTCATGCCTTTACTTACAGTTGTTTGATGAGTGCAGTGATGTGTTTTCAAATGAAAATGTTTTCAAAATCTCTTAAGTGTTATACTTAACCCGATTACACAATTTTCTTAATCGGTTAAATCTTGTGCATACTGAAAATTGTTTTCATGTTAAGTCTTAATTGCCATAACGGTCATATTTTGAATTGTTTTGACTTACCATAATTGTGCAATCGATTACATTAAATACGTAATCTGTTAAATTTGTTTTAGTGTAATTCTGGTATAGTAGTGTTAATTGCTTAACTGATTACATTAATATTGTAATCGATTAATATGCGTCAGACTTGAGAAAACTATATATTGACGCATAACACTCTACATTGATAACTTTTGAACATTTGATCTTTAATATCTGACAAAGTGAGTTGAGATAAGATTTTGTAGGTGTGCTCATTCTCCACGAATCAAGAGACATTAGTTTGGTAGATTTAAAGGATTCTTGAAGGAATTGTTGTGTGCTTTCTTTGGCTGATCATCATCCACACTCTTAGGTGTTCTAAAGCATATCAGTATTGTTTTTGCAATTTATGGATTGTGGTTTCCCTGTTGTCGATGGCCAGGCAACGAACATGAGGTTCTAGTTTCTTTGAGAGGTGTCTCAAAGGGTCTCTACAAAAAGAGAATTGTTCTTTCTATGTTGTATTCCTCTATATTAGATTTAGAGTTGGAGAGGAGATTACATTGAGAGAGGGTCTCTGTAATTCTTAATGTATAACTCAATCTTTATAGTGAAGTGACTTTCAATCTCAGGTTGATTGAAAGGGAATGGATGTAAGCATTGAGGTCGAACCACTATAAAAATATTGGTGTTTGTCTTTCTATCCCTTATCTCTTTTATTGCATTACAATATTTATTTTATTGTGTTTCAAGAAAGTGAAAAAGATTTTCAAAGATTTTAAAAAGAACATATTTTTTAATACAAACCAATTCACCTTCCTCCCCCTCTTGGTTAAGAAATAAGGCCTATCCATTTTTGCAATTGGCATCAGAGTTGGTTTCTCGAAAATTACTCAAAAACTAATCAATTAGATATTCTGTGTAATCAATTATTTTTAAGACAGGAACATCTCGAAAATCTATTCAAGAAGGAGAAAGAAGCACCAACGCTCTGAAATCAGAAGAAAAAGACCTAAGCATGATGGTCAAATCGAATACTGCTGAAACGTGTGTAGAACAAGGAGAAAAGCAATCAATGTGGTAAATAGACAATGGGTGCTCCAGACACATGACAGGTGATCCAACCACATGCATTAGCCTATCTCACAAGCCAAGCGGCCACGTCACATATGGAGACAACAATAAAGGTAAAATTGTTGGAACTGGTAAAATTCAAACACCATCCTCATATGTGATTGAAAATGTTTCGCTTGTTGAAGGCCTAAAACATAATCTTCTTAGTATAAGTCAACTCTGTGATAAAGGGTTAAAAGTTACTTTTGAGCCTAACCATTGTTTTATTTGTAATGATTCAACAAATGAACTCCTGCTAATTGAATAAAGGTGTAACAATATCTATATGATTAATTTTAGGAAAACATCCTTTAAATTTGTTATCTGCTTGTTGTCTAAAGATCATGATGCTTGGTTGTGGCATAAGAGGTTGGCTCATATTCATATGGCACAATTAAATAAACTTGTCTCTAGGAATCTTGTAATTGGTCTACCAAATATAAAATATGTTTCTGACAGGCTTTGTGATGTTTGTCAAAAGGGAAAGCAAACAAAAACATCCTTTAAACCCAAGAGAGAAATGTCTACCACTAGACCTCTTGAGTTGCTTCATATAGATTTTTTTGGTCCCTCTTGGTGGAAAACTTTATGGTTTGGTAACTGTAGATGACTTTTCTAGATATACTTGGACTTTTTTTCTTGCTATCAAAAGTGATACTTTCAGGTTATTCAAGAATTTTGCATCTATGATACAAAATGAAAAAGACCTCAAGATCAAATCAGTCAAGAGTAATCATGGCAGGGAATTCCAAAATGAAAATTTTGACAACTACTGTGCTGAAATGGGGATATCTCACAACTACTCTGCTCCTAGAACTCCCCAGTAAAATAGCGTAGTAGACAGAAAGAATAGAGCCTTGGAGGAGCTTGCATAGACCATGCTAAATGAGAGAGATATGCGTAAATACTTCTAAGTAGATGCAGTCAGTATATCTTGCTACGTGCTCAACTAAACAATCATTAGACCAATGTTGAATCTTACACCTTATGAGTTGTTTAAAGGAAGAAAACCCAACATTACACATTTGAGAATCTTTGGTAGCAAGTGGTTTATGCTCAATAACGGTAAAGATAGTCTTGGTAAATTTGATTCAAAAGTCGACGAGGCTATTTTCATTGGTTATTCACTTTCTAGCAAAGCCTATAGAGTATATAATAAAATAACCTTATGTGTTGAAGAATCTACACATGTTGCATTTGATGAATACATTGACAATGCTACTAGTAAAATGCATTCTAGAAAGTGTATAAATGCAAGTGACTCTGCAGGGGAAGAACAAGAAAGTGAAGAGATTCAAGAGAAACAAAGTGTAGAGGTCATTGAGAATTCTCCCAGAACTAAGCCAGTGAAGGAATGGAAAACTCCCAAAAACATGTCCACTAGCAATATCATTGGTGACATATCTAGGGGTGTGTCTACAAGAACACAGTAGATTTTGTGTCACAGGTTGAGCCCAAGAACATAGATGATGCACTGACAGACGAGAATTGGTTCATGGCAATGCAAGATGAGTTGAATCAATTCAAGAGAAATAATGTTTGGGAACTTGTTCCAAGGGAAAAGACTCAACAAGTCATTGGAACTAAATGAGTTTTTCACAACAAGATGGATGATTCTGGAGAAATTATTAAGAACAAAGCTAGATTGGTTGCTAAAGGCTACTACTGGGAGGAAGGAAACGATTATGATGAGACACACGCTCTTGTGGCTAGATTGGAAGCAATCAGAATTCTCCTAGCTATTGCATCAATGATGAAGTTTAAGTTATACCAGATGGATGTGAAGATTCCTGAATGGTTATATCAAGAAAGAAGTGTTTGTTGAACAGCCCCCTGGCTTCCAGGACTTTGAGTTTCCTGATCATGCGTTCAAGTTGTGAAAAGCATTGTATGGACTGAAGCACACACTAAGATCCTGGTATGAGAGGTTGAGTTAATTCCTAATCATGAAAGGTTTCCTAAGAGGTAAAGTTGACTCAACTTTTTTCATTAAAAAGTCTGGAAAAGATCAATTATATGTACATATATATGTTGATGACATTATATTTGGTTCTACTAATCCACTTCTATGCAAGGACTTTTCAAAAACTATGCAGGAGGAATTCGAAATGTCTATGATGGGAGAACTGAACTACTTCCTTGGAATACAAGTCAAACAAGATGAAAATGGTATCTTTATATATCAGTCAAAATATTGCATTGATTTACTAAAGAAGTTTAAGATGCGTGAGTGCAAAGAAGCAATCACACTTATGGCAACTAACTGTTATATTGAACAGGATAAGAAAGGTAAAGTTGTCGATCAAAAAATGTACAGAGGTATGATTGGTTCCTTACTATAACTTACTGTTAGTCGTCCTGACATCATGAATAGTGTTTGCCTATGTGCTAGGTTTCAATCTAATCCAAAAGAATCACACCTTATTACTATAAAAAAAATTAAAATACCTAAAAGGAACTAGAAATCTTGGATTATGATACCCTAGTCATGTGAATTTGTTCTTAGAAGATGCAGTGATTCAGATTTTGGTGGTTGCAAACTAGATTAGAAAAGGACTAGTGCATATGTCATCTTCTAGGTTGTTCACTAATTTCTTAGTATTCAAAAAAAAACAAAAAACTTATGAAATTAAAGACACACCACTTGAAAGGATCCAAGCTAAATGTAAAGAAGATCGCTACTTGCTCTTTACAAGACCCAAAAATCAAACTAAGAGATAGGTTCTATCTTAAAAATCAAACTAAGAAATACAATTTAATGCTCTTGTTTCATTAATAAAAAGTGTATGTTACAAAAAAGGTCTTAGGTTGCTTACATAGATATAAAGAGGAAGTAATTTGAATAAACTAAAAGATATAGAACTTAAAAACCTTAAATCTGAAATATAACTTCAGATATATAAGCTACATCATCTTATATATATATATATATATATATATATATAAGCGCTACCTAACTAATAGAGCTGTCAAAACGGGTAATCCGGTCCGACCCGATCCGACCCACTACAGGTTGATCACTTAGTGAGCTAACCCATACCGGCTCATTTATTAGCGAGTCAAAAAAATTCGAACTCGACCCGACCTACCACAGGTTGGTGGGTAAACGGGTTGGCTCATTGGCTCACTTAATTAACTTTTTTTCACTTTCTTCTTCTCAGATTCTTATAACATATTACTTTGATCGATCAAATTGAAACAATAATAATTGGACCAATTGATATAAAAGAAAATGAAACAAGAAATATATTGTTATATATATTCTAAGCTACAAGCATAAAATTTTGCCAACTTAGTTTAATGAGACATACACAACCGTTTGACCAAGAAACGACATATATAGCCGTTAACAAAAATATATAACACAAGATAAAATTGTCATGCTTGTAGATAGGTCTAAAAACAAGATAAAACAAATGATATATTCTTGAATTATCCAATTTATAATATTATCCATCTATTAAATTGGAGTCTTGAATGGATAAATCCACAGTATTATGCTCTCTTAAAACATCTTCTTTATCTCCATCTATAATATTATCCAATCTATAATCTTGGGTTTTATTTGTACAGAGGAACTTTTGCAAAAACAACATCGCGAAAGGCTCTATTGCTAAGTAAAAGTTGTGCATTTTGAATAATTAATTTAATTAATTCGATTTCAATAAAAAAAATAAGATTTAAATAATTAATTTAATTTAATTAAAAAAAATAAATGGGTTGGTTGACAACCCGACCCACTACGAGTTCAAGCTGTATGAGTCGGATTCTTAGTGAGCCGGATCAAAATTGGCTCGCATCAAAATTTTTGCATTTTTCTCCAACCCAATCCGACACAAACCCGTTGTGAGCCGAGTTGACTCACAAATTTCAACCCATTTTGACGACACTACTAACTAACTTAAAGATTAAAATTAAAATTATTATTAACTCTTAATCAACTTTTAAATACTTTTGATTTCAATTAATCCTTATTCATGCAATAATAACCCTAACTATATTTATTCTAGAGGATTCTCATAACTTTGGAGACAAATTGATCACTTTAGGACACTTTATATTAAGAAAAAAAGTACATAAAAATATGAAAATATCACAAATTTTGATAAAAATTAAAAACACCTTATAATTGAAAGGAAAACTAAGGAGAGAAAGAATAAAATTAACTACCAAGTGAAAAACTTTAATTTTATACAACTATAAATTAAGTAAATTTGAAATTCAAAATTTATTAAAAAATATTAAAATATTTAGTTGATAATATTTCAAAAGAAAATAAGTCAATATTATTTATATATTATTACTTATTACATATTATCTATTATGACTAAAAAGAATTGTTTTTAATAACGGTTACAGAACCATTTTTGCTATAAAAATTCTACAATTATAATTAAGAAAATTTATACTCACTTTACTCCTTAGATTATATAATTATAATTACTTTTTATAAATACAATTTTTCTAAATTTAATAACATTTTTTATTTTAATAATAGTTAAAAATATTAACTTTTATTTATTACCATAAATAAAAATTAACATGTAATTTTACTAATCATAATATAAATTGAATAAAATAACGATAGGTTAATTGAAAAAAAAATTAACATACAAATACATTTAAGCCAAACCTATATAAAAGAATTAAGGATAAATCTCTTTCATATTGATACATATTTTCCCACCTATATAAAAGAATTAAGTGTAAATCTCTTTCCAAGCGCTACATGCCTTTCAAGATAAATCCCTTCAGGATACACATCTCTATTTCAAATGGGAGAAATCATTTCAAATAACGTCAATAGTCAAGTTCTCCATTACTTTTATCACAAATTCCCCATCACAACCGCCTGAATGAAGTTCTTATTCTTCTATTTCCATCTCGATAACAGAACAGACTACACAAACCCACATACATCACTATCATTTTCTCTAATTCAAACTCTCAAAGCAATAAATTTATCATTATTTTTTATTCTATTTAACTTCTTCAAATTTTACCAGATATAAAATTTAGTAAAAATAGAAATACAAAAAGCATTAATAAGAAATGATCTAAACAAAATTGCTACTACATTCAATTAGTATTCTTCAGTTTTTTCTCTTTAATCATTTACGAGACACTCAATTGATGTTCTTAAAACATTTTCATTTCAAAGAGAACCCAATATGCGAACATACAAAGGCTGAGTGATTCTCATACATTTCACAGAAAAGGAAATCACGAAAGCATTTGATCAGCCGCCAAAACCATAAAGGGTCCTTCCCTGTCTCTTCAGGGCATACACCACGTCCATGGCCGTAACAGTCTTCCTCCTAGCATGCTCGGTGTAGGTCACAGCATCGCGAATTACGTTCTCCAAGAAAATCTTCAGCACTCCCCTCGTCTCCTCATAAATCAATCCACTGATTCTCTTCACACCACCTCTTCTCGCCAATCGCCGAATTGCCGGTTTCGTTATGCCCTGAATGTTATCGCGAAGCACTTTCCTGTGCCTCTTCGCACCTCCCTTGCCCAATCCCTTTCCTCCCTTGCCACGACCAGACATTTTCGCTTAGAATCAGACTACAGAGAACAAATGCAAAAGGATTTGAAAATTTAGGGTTTTGTTTTGCTTTTAGACTTCGAATGGTTTTTTGAAAGGAGATATAGGTATTTATTGAAGGTGCTTCCAAGGTTTGCGTTTTGATCTCCGTCGTTGGCTGGAGAATTGATCGACGGTTCATCTATGCGATCCGTGTACTACAAATTGGACAATTGTGACACGTTGATGGAAAGGTTTCAACGGCCAGATCTTTAGTTTTAGCGTATGTGCAGATTGGGAATCATAAAAGCAGATGTCAGTATAAATTATTTGTTATTTTAATAAACTCGTAAAATTAATAGGCAATCTTTATAAAAAGATACAAAACCATTGAAAATTTACTTGTTATTCCTCAATTGACAAATAAAAATTCCATGAATACTTTATCAAATAAAATTTATTATGATATTTTTAATAGATATTGTGAACAATATAAAAATATCAATATTTAATTATTTATTTGTTGATGATCAGGTACAGAAATATTGGTAATATTCATTACATGCTAATATGTAATTACGTAAGCGTATATAAATGTTTTTTGCGTTTACATTTTCATTACTAATTTTTCCTTTAGAGTTTATAATTATTTTAATCTAATTAATATATTTTTCATAAAAAATACTATTTTCTATTTTTATCTTTTTAATTTTGAATTCAAATAATTATTCATAATAAAAAATTATTTACCCAATAAAATAATATAAATATTATTTATTTTTATAATCATTTTTACAAAAATTATTTTGTAATTTATTAATATTTTTATTTAAATAATTAAAAATTATTTTATCTATACTATAGAGAGGATACACATTTGGTGTACACTTTTACTTTTTCTATATTTATCCTTAATAATATAATTTTTAACTTACTACGTATTTGTTCTTTTTCAAGTTATCTTTCCTTTCTTCTTTCTCTTTTAAATTCCATTCTTCATTATTATTCACGTAAGTAAAAAATATGGAAAAACATTCATAAATAAAGAATGACATAAATTCAAAACTTAAATTGAAAATAAAATTGAACTTTAATGTAATTTAGGGAAAAATTTAAAACTATATGAGAAAAATCGTCTCACAATCCTTATTTTGAAGTTTAACAATAATATCTAATGAAATAATGTTTACTAAAAAGGAATAGTCTAGGATAACACTAAATGTCATAAATGTGTTATCAAATCCTAAACTCATATGTTATTACAAACAGACTTCGCATAAACGCTATATAGTACATGTATTAAGCTAAACGGTAATGAATATCTAATGTTTAAATGCATGTACGAATATTACTTTCTTGTCTATTGCGTTGTTTTCTCTCTATTTGTACAAATCATAAAAGACAACTTTGAGGAGCTAGTAGGACTCTAAAGGTTCATGAATTAAAGCTACAACAAGACGATATGCTGAGAAAAAAATGCCCTTAAAGCTCAAAGACCGTCGAGAAGAACTCCCACAAAAGCCTTCAAGGGAGAAGAACCATTAGAGGAATCCAATGATGGAGATGATTCCAATGAAGAAGAAGAGGAACAACTTGAAATCACAGGGAAATACTAGAAAGGGAGGGTAGGGGATTTGAATAGTGTTTCTAAACTCTTTTCGCAAAACAACGCTTAATAACTATTGCAGGGGTTAAACGGTCTGTAATAGCCATTAGATGTTTATATTTTTTAAGTAAGCATTTCAAAAAACATTTTAAGCAGCTAAAGAAATAACACATGTATTTTATACTGGTTTATTCAATCCTAAGCTACGTTCAGTCTTCCTCAAGAACTATTTAGAGGTTTCACTAATTTTATCCAAGATTATAACCGAGTACAAACTATTTTTGGTATACACCGAGTATTCTAACCATGTCTAATCCCCTTAGTCTGTAACATCCCAATTTTTTTCTACACTTAGAGTAACAAATGCTAAAGCATTTTGCTAAAACCATAACATAATTAAAATTTCCTTTCAATATAGCCATTACAACTTTAAATATTAATAATTCAAATCCAACACGAAAATAAATATTTCAATACAAATCTTTAATCCCTTTCACAAAGTAAATAAAACTTTAAATAAACTCCAATTGCAACTCCTTTCTCGACAATCACGTTGCTTCAGCAGCATCTGCATACCTATCTAAGCTCTCATAACACATATTATACAATCATCGCTACATACACAACACAAAACAAACAAATGTATGGGTGAGCTAACAAAATCAACCTTACAACACCTATATATCAGATACTAAGTCTTTATCACAATCTTATCACATCAAATAGTATCGTCGCGCCTTCCTTTCGCCGGCCAAGAGTGTTGCCGACGATGCCACTCATGTCGGACGGAGTAGCCCAAACTTCGTCCTCCTTTTCGTGCGTGAGAGAGAAATCTCATCTCTCCCTGCGACGTTGCTGACACAAACCAAGATCACCACCGCCGACGCCGTCCTCAATAACCGGTCGGAGTCATGAGGACTGGTCTCCTCTTCCACCGTTAAGACTATGCCTCTTTGCTAAATGGATGTGCGCTTGAAAGATCTCACTTTCACCCTCAAAAAGCTGAACCCTTTTGTCCCCTTACTTTAGTTTGTGAGACGACTTCTGCAGACATTGGGTAATTGATGGTTGATATGTACTGTGATAGAGTGCTGGTTTTAAAGTTTTCATTTATTTGAGATTTGGTGCTGACATGTGTGGCTAGAATCCTTGGATGTTAAGTAGTTGAATTTGGAGTGCTTGAGCTTTGTGGAAATTGGAGGTAGCAATTAGTTGAATGATTCATCTTTCTATTCTTTCTCTGCTTGTCTTTTCCTATTTCATGATTCATTAGTTGAATGATTCCAAGAGCTAATTTTTTTTCTGCAGAGGCAATACCTAAAACGATAATGAAACTCATGGGGATTTTAGGGCTTACTTTGTATCATCTGAAGAGTCATCTTCAGGTAAAAATCATTAGTTTTCTGATTAGGGTTTCCCTGGTTTTTGATTTGGGAATTTTTGCAATGGTGAAAATATTGGGCAAACTTGTGATTGTGTTCCTGCAATTTGCAGTTCCTTTTACGGTGGCTGCCATGGAAGTGTGATTTGATTATTGGAGAAGATGAAAGATGGCATTCCAGGAACAAAAAAGCGTGATTTAATTATTTCCACTTTGCCCTTCAAAAAAGCTGATTACACCTCTCTGCATTCAAATTTTTTAATACAAAATTCGTTTGTAATGCCACGTTGGATTAATGTATACTCTGACTATACCACGTAATCAACACTTAAACGATCGTTCGTTGAATTTGATGACAGACCTCTAATTGAATCAATTTTACAAGAGAAAAGACCTATTTAAGATTTCGGACCAAAATAGGGACTTCTGGTGAGATTAAACCTAGATTTAGCCACAAACACTCGAATTAAGTTGAATAAAAAAATCATTAAATATGTTATAAGCTTGATGAATGGTAATATAACTTTAAACAACAACTTCAAGTACAATGTTTATAAAATTTTCAATTGTGTTGTTTGAATGGTTTTCAATGATGGAAAGTTTCAAGAACAAGACTACTAATCAATAGATAAATTTAGCAAGAAACTACTTAATTAAATTAGTTAAAGAAATGGTTAAATATATTTCAAACTTGATTAAATAATCATATAATATTGGACAACCACTTAAACTTTGATAACAATGTTTATAAAGTTTTCAATTCTCTCAAATTTTATGTCATTGTTTTTAGTCTTCCCATCAACTATTATCCTCAATCTCTCAAAACCATAAACCACAACTTTAGCCTATGTACACATTATCAGTCGACTAAGTCTCATTTTACTACCTATTGCCAAAAAAATCAGGTTAAAAATGATAAACGAAGAACAGGTTAAAAATAAACACCAAATATAAATTCAGAAGTAGATGGTCATATGTTGGATCAGCCTCTCAAAATGCAAGGATACAACAGTTAGTAAATCGAAACATTGTATGATGGTACAATTTTGTCGTAAGTAGGAACACACCCTTAGTTATACAACGTGTCACTATTACTATGAGAAAAACTATGAAGTAAACAAGAAAAAAAATATATGTACATTTAATTAGAATAACGTAGAAAGAAAAGCTTCACACAAAAATTAACTTATAACTCCGTTCAAGATGCATTTAGATCCCGTGAGGCTTGGCCTTGCCATCTGTAAAACAAAAACCATATTATTCACAAGCACATTTCATGTCATAGAAGATGTCCAAGTCTTTAATTTGCATGACAAAAATATTCATATCCACATATATTTTGATGATAAAAGTTGCAGTAAATATTTAACAAATTTCCTAAACAGACATCCATTACCCACATACATAGATGTATCTTTACCATGGTATCCACACCCAGAAGTATTTAGTACCCATAAAATTAGATAAACGTTAGTATATTCAAATAATTAAATTAATATTTTAATTAAAAGTTTATATTAGGTGGTCAATGTGAAATTGTAAAAGAGAAAAATATAAACTAAAATTTGGAAATTTGTTTTACTTCTTGTACTTGTTTTCTTGTGTTTTAACAAATTTTATTTAAATTTGTTATTGAAATCAAATAAACTAATTTGTATTTAAATATATGTTTTGAACTTTTATTTTGATGATTAAAATGTTCAACAAATGCCTTTGGATATTTGTGGATATCTATGGTTTTGTGTAACACCATCGATAGTTGTCATAGCAGAAACATGATGGTTCTTAACATACAAGACAGGTAGCTAATACCCACTTCCAACAACACTCATTCATTGCCATCCTTAGTCCTAGTGAGGAGGTCTAGTGTGATTGGTTTAACATGATTCATTAGTTATCATAAACTCCTTAAGCTAGATAAAAGCAAAAACTATAAGGGCTTTTTTCTCCAGGACCCTTGCACCAATACTAACATCAAAAAGATTAAAAAATCGTATTTGCTGCACCATTGATAGGATATAAGGTGTATAATAGGATGAAACAAATTAAAAAATTAGTTGTTAGTTGGGTTGTTAGGTTGAATGAGACTTTCTTTATATAGTGGGGGGTCTTTGTAGGCAGGGGGAGGTTTTT